GAGCATTTATTAATCGCTCAGCTCCTAAATCCCGTGGCGCAGCTGGGCTCGAAATGTTTGTACGTATTGCAAAGTAAAGCGCGAGAGGGGACTGCGAGTCCTCCGGGAGAGGATTAGGTCGGACATATTGAGAGCTTCCACCCGAGAGCACCCTCCTTCACGGCTAGAGTGGTGTGACGCTGAAAAGCGGTGCGACGCCGCTTTTACTATTATAAATATTTCCGATAAATTTTCATGCCGATTATCACGCTCATACATACGAAGCGCGCGATTTACAATTCAGCGCGCTCGCACGGTATTTTTTTCGCGAAAGTTCCAATTCTCCGCCCGTTACCGCGCACTGCTCCCGCCCGTCTCGCTTGTTGAAAGTATAAAACGCTACGTATCGCGCTTGCATTCTATAATTTGCATCGCGTCGCGCGATAAGTGGAATCGTTAATGGAATTACCGCTTGATAACTGCACGGACGATAATGAGGACGGACAACTTTATAGCCTCGCGATAATGAGAGTGTACCTGTAACGCGGTATATTTTTCCCATAATCCGCGACAGTAATACACGCCCCGGCCGTGCAATAATGGAGGCACGCGCGCGCCGAAGAGAAAAAAAAAACGTCCGCGCGTATTAAGGCACGATACATACCGACGAGCCAGTGCAAGTGACAGCCGAACGATTAATCGTCGATAACCATCGCTCGTTTAATGCCCCGTCATAAAATGCTAGGCTGAGGAAATTATTGATTCGTCATATTTCCCGTCAGCAATATCGTTAACGCCGACCATCTCTTTACGTCGCCCAGTCGAAAATGATCGGAAATGACGCCGCGCCGATGCTGTCGAATCACATCGTTCTGAGGAAACGATCCGAGCGCTCATTTGCAGTTGATAATTACAGCTAACGAGCGGTCAAGCGTCGACGTATATTATCCACTGAAAATAGCCTCTCCGCGTAAAACTCGGTCGTTAATTATAGGAAATTTCATCAGTTTTCAGAGAAAACGATCTCTCCCACTCTCGAACGAACGAATCACAGTATACGTGAGAATTCATTAGCTCGAGCGCGAGAGAAAAACGCGGACTCGAGTTTACGATAGACGGTTTCGGCATTAAAATCAAGTAAATTAGCGTATCCCCCTTAGGGTGAGACGCGTACGATATAATGTTTCTCGTAATTGCATTGTTCGCGCGGTAACTCGCGAACTCATGATCTATTGTACTTCCCCCGTGCTCGGGGGGTTAAATGTTACATAATACTACCAGCCGATAGCTCTGCCGAAGAAGAGAGAGAGAGAACTGCGAATACCGCGTTTCGCGACAAAAGAGGATCGGGAATACCGGAGCGCAGTGTTATTACGACTTAATGCACGGAATTGTTTCCCCAGTTTGAATAATCGTATCGCGCTTACGCGCCACACAGTTGCGCAATCCGTGGCTCGGTCGCTCTCTCGACGAGAGCGCGCGCACCCTTCCTAACGGCCGGGCGGCGGTGCACAGAGAGGCACGAATAATATTTCGTTCCATTATTCATAAACATTTTATAATCTTCTTAGCGTGGTGAATTATTGCCGTTCGCGCAATTGAAATAATGCGGCCCGCACGAAGGGGTAGCCCAGTTGCGTACGCGGCGAGGAAAGGGGGGAAAGAAGCGACGCGCGGCGGAGGGTTGCGCGGCAACGAGAATAGAACGAGTTCGTTCGTTGAAGTGGCGTTGAAATGTTTCGAAGCGAGGGAAAAATAATTGGACGAAGAGCTCCATCGTCGTTCTCCTCTCTCCCCCGGGGGTAGGAGCGCGAGACAACGCGTCGCTTCGACGATGACGACGACGACGAGGAGGAGAAGCAACAACAACGTCTCCCCGTGAACCCGACGATCCGAGTTCCTTTATTAAGCTCCTCGTTACCGAGAAATCTGCCGCCACCTTTCGAGATAGGTGGCACCATCCGATAAGGCGAGTTAAGTCGAGAATAGCGGGCAGAGATGGAGGGCTCGCTGATAAGTTTCAGGCGTCATAACTCATCGGGGGCACTTGGACCGACGAAACTAGCGCGCGAACTGCGTGCGCGATATTCCGGACGCGTGCGCTTACATTCTCCCGACGTAACTGATCCCCGTGCTTTACTGACGGATGATGTCGGAATAAGAGTTACCGAAACGATATCTCCCCGCTGTAATTTCGGGGTCGGAGCTCTTCCTGATCTCTCTATTACGGGTCGGATTAGCTAGTTATGAAACTCGACCGAGGCTCGGCGAGCGGTGATGAAGCGTGTTGGGAAAGTTTCCGTCGGGACGAGACCGGGATGTGCCGGGCGGAGTTGTACGGAATAAGCGATCAGGCTCTTCCTGCGGCAGGCACATCCATCCGCCGGTAACTTCGTTCTGATAGCAATGTCCAAGGACGAATGTCGCGGTCGGGGCTGCGGTAGGATTATCTCGTGGAAGATTCGCGCAGGATCAGAAGCGCGCGTGCGGAACTGTTTCAACATCGAAAGGTCAACTTTCCGCGAGGCGGAGATTGGATCTCGCCTGCTTCATTTCGTCGAAGGTATTGTAATCGCGACATACCCGAGATTCCCGGCGAATGCATTCCACGTGATAAACCGACTACCGGTTGGAAACTGTCGCGCGCTCACGTAATTTTAATTAAAGAGCTCGGAGGGCTGGCGCAACACCGTCCTTCCTGCCTTTCGACAAAGAACCCCGGCGGAACGTAGGGCTTGGTCTTTGCTGGAAGGAGAGCGCAGACTTCGCGCACGTAGTAAAGCTCTTCTCCCCCCTCTCACGCGACCACCACCCTTGTCGTCCCGCCTTCTCTCGCCCCCAGCATCCTTCACTTCCTTCATCATCGCGAACGGAGCGCCTACCTGCCAAAGACGATGGGCGCCGCTGCGTTACGTCACCGACTGCGAATCAAAATCTTATTAACTGCTGAAAGTGAGTTTCACTTCAAAGTGGAATTTAATTACATTCGCGCCTGCTGCCTACCCACCGCGCGTCCACCCGTTTCCTTATTTCTCCCGATCTCGGGCGTTTGCCCTGTCTCCTTCCCACTTTCCCTTCTCTCCACCGTCCCAGCTCTGTTCCTGCTTTTCCATTTTCTTCGATCACTTTCTCGCTCGTTGCGCTACACCCCTGCCCGCCCTTCTTGCTCTCGTCGACGCATCGCCGACGCGAGGTCTCCTCAGCGAAAATATTTAAATTTCGTCCAGCGGCAACTCCGCAGCCACTTTCCGTCCGCTATTCAGGCAGTTATCCCCGTCCGAATTATATCGCCCGTAGCCGCCCATCCTGCTGTTTACAGCACGAGCGGATATTCAAATGCCGTCGCGATTATATTCTTCCGCCCTTGGACTTAGTCGTGCATCATCGTCAGAGGTCGAGGCGAGCCGAGGGAGCTCTGTCTCTTTTTTTTCTTTCTCGTAATGCCTGGTCGGGGCAATTGCCTCTTTTCCTTTGAGATAGCCGCCATCCCTCCCTTTTGCTGCCTTATCTCGTGATTAATTTCGCGGAGTCCGTTCGTTCGCCTCCCTTACTCTCCCCTCTCCCCCTTTGGAAAGCAGGTGCTCCCCGCAGAGTCCCTTTGCTCAATTCATCGTTCGATGGAAATGCCCGAAGACGACGCCGCCGCGGATTATGAGCTTCGCAGATACCGTTGTATAGCGCGAGCCCTGAGATACTCATTTTTTTCATCTACGGATTACTCGACCGCCTCGCAATTGATTTTTCTTTAACGAAATGTGAAATTGTGTCGACGACGATGTGAATGCCGATGAATTCTTCAACTATACGCGACAAAAATGAATGTTTTAAAAATTGTTGTTGCAAATATACAAAAAAAAGGACTTCTAAGATGAGCTTTACTTTAATAGATATTCGGTATTCGCTGTTGTAATGTATTTACGATCATTGTTCGGAGAGGATACTTAATTACAGATTCATCTTCAAGGATCGTTATTCAGCTGTTTGCCGAATCGACATTTCCTCGTTGTATGAAATAAGTATTATAAGGAAAGAGAATAATCTGTACTATTTCTCCAAATTTTCGATTGGCTTTTCAAATTCGACGAAATTCACACAGTAAGAAATATTTTATATTTGTGTTAAAATCGGTCTTTGTTAAAATTTTTGTATTAAATTTTTATCATATCCGTATGATAATTTAATTTAACGTTTGTGTTTATGTTATCTCAACATTTTGTGTTGGGTCAATATTCAACATGTGTAAATGTTAAAATAACACATTTTCTATTTCAATTAATTATGGATGTTTTAATTTTGTGTTAATTTTTGACAATAATATTTGCATTACTTTTCAACATATTCGCCTTGTATTAAACTAACACAAAAGTTTGTATGGGTCGTTTGGAACATGTGAAGAACGTGTTAAATTTAATGCAAAACTTCGACTGGAGTTTGCTTTACATCATTTGCTTATAATCGCGGGCTGATCTTCGAGAAGTTAAAACCGCACGAATCTAGTGGAAAGCTAACGCACAGCGAAGATGTAAAACGTTCATGGAACAAAGAGAGACGCGAATATCCTGCCCTGTGGCTAAAGATTGCACAGATGCCCGTATTTTTATGGACAATGCGCCTATGCTTTTATCCCGCGACATAAAAATATACGCGCATCCACGTTACGGTACACTTAGCTCTAGAGAGAATATGGTTTTCGTGCTTAATCCCTTAGAGATTGAAGCGTGCTATTTTTAAATTCTTTCATCGGTAATCTTTCAGCTTTTTATAACGGCGAATCGTTAGTCGCGTTATTACGTTTGTACGGGCGACTGGAAATTTCAAATTATCGTATAATCGTCAACGAATGCACACATAAAACGAATAGATAATACTGTTGCCGCGACGGAATTGACGAATGTGTTGTGTATATTTAGCGAGGAAGATTGCAGAAAGTCCTTCGTACTTTATTCATAATGGACACGAGTCGGGATGATGATTATTTAATAAACGTCGATAAGCTTGGAAAATAGAGCATTCGGACTCACCTCTGCTGCTACCGTCGGGTCCACGGAGGATGGTGCACTCCTCTATTGTGCCGAAGGCAGTGAACAACTGTCGAACATCGTCTTCAGTTTGTTGCTTGCTTAGCATTCCCACGAACAGCTTTCTGTCTGCAGGTCGACGGCGAAATAGAGGGAACAGAGAAAAAAACAAAAGAACAGCGTTAGTAAATGTTGTCCATGAGTGTTAAGCGATTGTAGGCGTTAAAGAGAAGATCTTGCGGCTAACACCGAGAACGACAAAGTTACACGGTTACACCAGCATCCACCATCCTAAAGGGGGGG